ATTATTACGTTTAGGTTATAACTAAATAATTAACTAACCAAGCACTTCTTATTTCTCCTGCTATTCTGACTCAAGATCTGTGATATAATATTAACAACCAAGCACTTCTTATTTCTCCTGCATTCTGACTCAAGATCTGTGATATAATATTAACAACCAAGCACTTCTTATTTCTCCTGCATTCTGACTCAAGATCTGTGATATAATATTAACAACCGAGCACTTCTTATTTCTCCTGCATTCTGACTCAAGATCTGTGATATAATAATACATTTGTTTTTAGGTAGAAAAGTTGGTGAACCCAGAAGTTTATAAACAGTTCAAAAGATTTAAACTAAATAGAGGTAAGTTAGAAGTGACTGTGCTTGAAATCATTCTAATGTAAACTGACATTACACTTTCTGATTTCAAATTAAAAGGCCTTAGTGGACTAGTTTTGAACACGTTGGTGTGAAGATTCATAATTATAATGGATTTAATTTCTATTCTTTTTTTTTGATAAGTTTACAGGTCTTTAGGAATCAGAAAGTTTTCTTTTAAAGTATGCTAAACCATTTTAACCTTAATATTTTTCTTGTAAAAACTATAAAAGCCATAGAGAACATTATAAATGTTATTCTTTTTATCTCTTCCACTTGAATGTTATGATTACAAAAATAGATTGATCCCACAAGAAATGGAAATGTTACTATAGTTGGATCTTCCATTAGACTGTTATGGTTACAGAAGTATAACTGGAACCCACAAGAGTTAGAAACATTACTAGGATTGACTCTTCCATTAGACTGTTATGGTTACAGATGTATAACTGGATCCCACGAGAATTAGAAACATTACTAGGATTGACTCTTCCATTAGACTGTTATGGTTACAGAAGTATAACTGGATCCCACAAGAGTTAGAAACATTACTAGGATTGACTCTTCCATTAGACTGTTATGGTTACAGAAGTATAACTGGACCCCACGAGAATTAGAAACATTACTAGGATTGACTCTTCCATTAGACTGTTATGGTTACAGAAGTATAACTGGATCCCACAAGAGTTAGAAACATTACTAGGATTGACTCTTCCATTTAACTGTTATGGTTACAGAAGTAGAACTGGATCCCACAAGAACTTGGTGTCCTGGAATAAATTGTGAAACGATATGCTATGTTAGGCCTACTGTGAAAGGTGAAGAGAATGTGGCTGTTTTTTGTCCTAAGGTAAGTGTATTCAGGTCTTTGAGTACTTTAAGGCATAGAAGGATTTACCAATAGACATATTTCCAGGTTATAAGCAAAGCAAGAAACATCTTAAGTTTAACTGAAGTAAAGTGATATCTTAATACATAATAATAAACTGATAATATTGATAATCTCACTGTCCTGTTGTAAAAACTTGGTGAAGGTAATATGTAAATCACAGAAGTTATTAGTACCAGTTTCAGTGTACTGTTTATCGTACCTCTGCTCTTCAAATTATAAGTTTTTTTCGAAGATTAAACATATTACTTAAGGAGAATTTGAGTTTAATTACATTTATCCTAATTATCAGACATATTGGCAACCATGTTTCTGTATGAGTAACTTAATGTATACACATGATTATAGAAGGTTTGATGTTTCCTTTGCAGTGTGGCTTTGCATTTTGCTCTGTATGTAAGGAAAAGTGGCATCCATCTAAAACCTGCGATGAGCTGAGGAAAGATATGATAGATGAAGAGGAGTAAGTGTCGCCCTCTAGTGTTTTGTTTGGAACTGGCATGTGCAAGCTCATTGATACGTTATTACTGTTTAATACTAAATAAAGACGTATTATATTAATAGTTTGGAATAATACCAACACTGTAAATTAAAGACTGCTTTAGCTCAATCTAGAGTCAAAAATAATGTGCAGCCTGCACCATCAAATATTATTTTTTCTTCTCCTTGGTCTGAAAATGTTAAAATCATACGCTCCAATTTCATCATGTCTATTTTTTCTGGTATTGTTTTGCCTTGAATTTATTAGTTTTATGTTTCGTCTACAGCCCTCTACCAGTGGATGTTAACAATTCCAGCATTAAGCGTTGTCCTAACTGTCATATTTTAATTGAACGAGATGAAGGATGTGCACAGATGATGTGTAAAAGATGTAAACATGTTTTCTGTTGGTACTGTTTAACATCACTGGATGTAAGTTGTTGTTTTACTCTGTGTTTTATATATTTCAATCTTTTTTATACAAGTTTCTATATCAGATATTCTTGTTCACACTTGTGAATTACATTGTTGTACTAGAAGTTCAGTAGAATTAGTTAATCATATTTCTGTACTAAACAATGCTGCTGCTGCTCTAGACTTTGTTTACAATATTTATAAGTACCTACAAAACTTCACTTTCAAGGTTAAATTGACAATATTTGCTATGTACATGTATGTGTTGTAGCATCTCATTACTGGTGCATTAATGTGATTGTGTATCACAACTAGTGTTTTGACTTTCTTTCTTTAATTGTTAGGATGACTTTCTCCTGAGACATTATGATAAAGGACCTTGTAAGAATAAACTTGGCCATACCAGAGCTTCTGTTGTGTGGCATCGAACTCAGGTGAGTTTACGTATGTGGTACTTGGAGTGTGCTGTGGTTTGTTTCTTTTATTGTTCACTTTGAGCTGTTTTAAGTGTGTTATCAACTAGCTATATAACATGTTTAATATGTTACATAATAAAATGATAACTTAAAGAACTGTTACGTACATATTGTAGTGGAATCTCCAGAAATGGTAAAGTTTTTTTTAATTGCATAGTGAACCATAAACAGTGCCACCAACATAATATTTGCAACTGACTCGCAGGCACTAATGCATAAAATTTAGAATGGTTGGTCTCCAGATGGATGGGAGAAAGTAAAACACCGAGAGAAGCTTCAATATCGGACCCAGCATTACTTTAGTGTTAGTAAATTGACCTTCTGTGTACCAGTAAGATTAAAATGGCAATGGTTGAAGATCTTCATCAACATTAAAGTATCATGTGGTGTAGCTAGGAAACGCAAACAGAATGAGGAATAAATAGGACAGCATACAGCCAGAAGGTCACTGGTAACATCAGTAAAAGAACTCTCTTCTACTTCCAGTAACAACCAGAAGGTCACTGGTAACATCAGTAAAGGAACTCTCTTCTACTTCCAGTAACAGCCAGAAGTACACTGGTAACATCAGTAAAGGAACTCTCTTCTACTTCCAGTAACAGCCAGAAGTACACTGGTAACATCAGTAAAGGAACTCTCTTCTACTTCCAGTAACAGCCAGAAGTACACTGGTAACATCAGTAAAGGAACTCTCTTCTACTTCCAGTAACAACCAGAAGGTCACTGGTAACATCAGTAAAGGAACTCTCTTCTACTTCCAGTAACAGCCAGAAGTCCACTGGTAACATCAGTAATGGAAATCTCTTCTACTTCCAGTAACAACCAGAAGGTCACTGGTAACATCAGTAATGGAAATCTCTTCTAATCTCTATGAGACAGTCGGCCTGTTGTCTGGACCTGTTGGCACAACTCCTGGCATTGATTGTCACTTAGTACTCGATTTGAACCATATAACAGTTTTAGTATAAAATCAGTTTAAGGTTTGTATTTTAATATATTTAAGCAACTGAGAGCCCTTTCATAATACAATATTCAATTTGTCTTGGAAATTCTAAATCTTTCATCTAAACACATGATTTCACTGTGGAATATTTTGCATCAGAAAGGACTGTTGCATACCCTTTCAAAAAGTAATCAATTTTTGGTGGCATCACATTATCTGTGTAATGTCAAAATGTAGTTCTGTTACATTCTGTTCCACTGTGGCTTAATGGCACCTGTGTTTGTTACACAATTTGTTGATTAATTTGCATATTTCAAATCATTTCAATATAAGGTACTCAATCCTCTGCAACAAAAATAAATTGACTTGTTAAACTAGGCAAAGGTATGATAAAAATGAGAAACACCAAATTCGGTATGTATACATTTGTATTATCTAGTTGATTTCATTTACTATATCAAGATGAAAAGCTGTCCATCTATCATACAGATATCTTGGCCATTGCAATACTGATCGACATTCAACTTGTTGCACTAAATGATTATGCTTTCTGTTGCGATTTTTTTTAATTCTTCCAGCCGTACACGTGTGTGTGTGTGTGTATATATATAAAATGGATAATACAATAATTTGGGCATATAATTACATGTGAGAGTAGGTTGGTAGAGATAGCGATGAATAATAAAATGAAATCGGGTATACGTGGACCCCATGCTTGGTATTGCTGGCACATAAAAATCATAATCATTGGCTAAAATTCTCTAATATGTTTACTTGGTTGTCAAGAAGACAAATTGACACAACATCACCAAATTCTATCCAATCAGAAGTCTCGGCTATAACTATAATAAATTGCATGTTTTACCCACAATACATTTCAATTTTGAAAACGCCCTAAATAAAGGTAACTTCTTCAGCGCAGCAGGCTAACAAAGCCAAAATCAGGAAGACAGTCCAAAGAGAAGATCTTGAAATTCATAATAAAATTCAATGGTTTTACCATCACAATTAATAATTTGCAGGGTCATACAGTTGACCAAGTAGGAACAGGTCTCAGAGAATCGTTTTTTTTTTTTTGCATTTTTCATTGTATAAGGATTTATCAAGAAGAACATTTGATATACAGAAAATATACAGAAGTTAAAATGCTGATCAAGCAATATGTAAAGGAGATAACCTGATATACAGAAAATTTTTTTTTCGTGAAATACTAGAAATAGGATAATTATTCTCCTTACAAATATTGTTAGATTATAATTAATTTTTAGAAGAAGAATTTATCATTATTTACCATTATATGACAGAATAATGTTTATCTTGTATATTTTTACCTATGTAATGTACTTGAAATTAAGAACAGGTTATAAATTATCAAACTCAATATTTGCAGTATGCAAAAGATGAAATCAAGAAATGTTTAGTAGTTTAATATTAAAATTGGCTTGATTTATTTGTATTTGTTTAAGTGCAAAGCTACATAAAGCTCTGTGCTTTATTCACTGTGGTTATTAACACATCTTTTTTAGTGTATAAGTTATCAAGCTTACTGCTTAGCCATTAGGGTGACAACTTGTATTCAAATGCCAAGTCTTTTAACAGTTACAAAGTAGGCATAACAATAAACGAAACTACAAAATTGCGTTTATAAAAAGACAGTTATTTTTAGAATTTGCAAGATAGAATTAAGCCTTAACTGTGCTCATCTCCAGCTATCAGATCAATAATGTTTGCTGTAATTATAAGTTAATTCAATTTTTTAGCTGTTCCTCCTGTTGAGAAACTCAACTTTTTTCAATTATAAAAGTAGCGATTCAACACTGTTGAAGTTTTTTGCCTCGTGTTGCTCTGCTTGTGTAGAATACGTCAGCAAATCAGCAGGTATCGTCAAGCACGTTGAACCAGTACAGAGGAAAAGATTGTCTATACATTTCTACACGAGCGCATACAACTTACATTTTATATCTTAAGTTCTTAACAAAGAGGTAATAAGGCAATTTACCAAGAAATGTTGACCATCATAAAATACTGCATTACTAGGGTTAGCGTACAAACAGTAGATCATTACGATATTTATTAGTCACTCCAAAACTACGGTGATAACAACTCCTTTTACTTCGGAAGCAACAACAGTTACTGTCAGGTCTTAATTACAACTTGTACAGATAAAAATATAACCTTTGTATTACTTTACTTACTGATTTGGTTGTTATTAACACAAAGCTACACATCTATCTGTGCTCCTGCCCTCCACAGGTATCAATACCCAATTTATTTAGTGTCTTAACCTGCAAACTTACGGTTGATCACCGAGGAACACTTGTTGATGACCTCTTATATTAACTTTGTATTTAATGTAAATACAAACATTAAACTGTTGAAAGTAATCATAATTATCAAAATTAGTATATTATTATTAGTCAAGAACTATCAACATTAAATGTTGTTACATATTCACCAAGACCAAGATTGCTAGAAATACAGAAATGAGCAAGTTAAAAGACGAGTACTGACACCATTAGAAGATGGCACAGCATAGATGAAAATAACGTCTACAGCTGGTGGTTTAAACTAGGGTCCCATGTTATCTTAATTATTGCGTATGGTTCACATATTTCAATTAATTAAGATCATCCATACAGCTGGTGGTTTAAACTAGGGTCCCGTGTTATTTTATTTATTGCGTATGGTTCACATAGTTCAATTAACTAAGATCATCCATACAGCTGGTGGTTTAAACTAGGGTCCCGTGTTATTTTAATTATTGCGTATGGTTCACATATTTCAATTAACCAAGATCATCCATTGTTTTCTTTGCAGGTTGTGTGTATATTTGCTGGGTTTGGTTTTCTTCTACTGGTAGCATCTCCACTGTTGTTGCTCGGAGCTCCATGTTTTCTCTGCTGTCAGTGTAAACGTTGCAAACTAATTGATGAGGAGCCTACAGCTGTTTAAACGTTGCAAACTAATTGATGAGGAGCCTACAGCTGTTTAAACGTTGTAAACTAATTGATGAGGAGCCTACAGCTGTTTAAACGTTGTAAACTAATTGATGAGGAGCCTACAGCTGTTTAAGTCATCATATTACAAGCTGTTGATGGGATTGATGAACAACATGATAAGTTACATTAAAACCAGATTGTTGATGTGGTTTAGCTACTTTACTGGTAGAAGAATTTACTTGGAATATGTGAAAGTGAATCAGTTTGGACCTTGGAGGGAAGTATCTCCTGTGAAGTCGTCATACAAACTTCAGGGACAAGAAATATTTTGTTACATTAAAACCAGATTGTTGATGTGGTTTAGCTACATTACTGGTAGAAGAATTTCCTTGGAATATGTGAAAGTGAATCAGTTTGGACCTTGGAGGGAAGTATCTCCTGTGAAGTCGTCATACAAACTTCAGGGACAAGAAACATAAGTTACATTAAAACCAGATTGTTGATGTGGTTTAGCTACATTACTGGTAGAAGAATTTCCTTGGAATATGTGAAAGTGAATCAGTTTGGACCTTGGAGGGAAGTATCTCCTGTGAAGTCTTCATACAAACTTCAGGGACAAGAAATATTTTGTTAATTTTAAAACTTTTTGACAAGTATATACAGTTCAGTTGTCAAGTATTGTTTCATATTTAAGGTTCTTTACCATTGGAGCATTGAAGATAAGTTAATACGAGTCACTGTGGCTTTTAAACGTGCTTCATCTGGCAAAAATAAGCATTGAAAATTCCAAGATTTTGATATGTCTACCATGATTTTTTAAACTCTTGATGCAATTCAAACTATGACCCTTTTACATTATATCTGGATTTTGATACTAATTTTGTATTTATGTTAAGATGGTTGTTCGAGTGCAAGTTTTTTTACTTTTAAATTTAAAACTTAGGTGTACTATCCTCGTGCATGAACCTTTACTGCTAACCTGTATGCAGATTTTAAGCCATAGTATATATCTAGTCAGCCTGACTTAATTTTGGATGAAATAACGTTGCGTCAGACTCAGCTGTGTTTAAAAGGATTTTATGTAAAATGACGATTTACGTCACGGACCAATGTAAAATTAGATCATAATCTAAGTTTGTGACACTCCCTCTCTAAAAGTTTTTTGGAATGGACTGCATCAGATAGCTAAGAAATACCATGAAAGGAGGGGAAAAAAATTATCTTTGTACAAACCCAAAGTTAAACTGGACAAGAAATATTAACCTCTCTAGCACATGTCCTGTACAACTGTATTAATTTGATACTTTTTTGGCCTAACAGTTAATACAATCCAAATTTATTCAGTATTGCTAGCAAATGAAATAGACAACTAATAAGATTAAAATATTTATCAAAATGTGGTAAAATAGATATTTCATGTCACACGAGTAAGAATCTTATTAGCAGAACTTAGAGTTACACATTATTACATACTGTTTTTATAGCATGAAAACAAGATGCTTTACATGTTGCACGAATCTGTAGAATTAAACAAACTAAGGGTATTTAATATCCTGATGAATAACTGCTGAAACATCCAAGGTTCTTTTAACTTATTTCTGTAAACATTGCTTTTGAAATGCAAATGATGAATTAGGGGGGGTGGGTGTACAAGGTATTGATAAACCAGCAGCTTACAGACTACTCACTATACTATTTATTTTCTGAACAATACGTCATTATATTAAAACCATTGTCAAAAAACAGTTACTTTTGCATGTTTGAATATTTAAAATTTTTGGAGCAAAGGCAGAGTCTTTAGTAGACGAGTTTTGTCTATTGAATGGCATTATTAGAAACAAATAACCAGTGTTTTTATTTCTGAAAGGCTTTCGAATGGTAAACACTTGCATTAACCAATTTTACAGCTTAACTTAATACAACTTTTCTTACATTACTCCTTATAGGTTCATGTTACTGTAGTTGTTCTGTTGGTACCACTTATTTGAACCAAAGTTACAGTATCAACATTCAAGGTTTCAACAGACTAAGAATTTCATAGTTGAAGTGTTTTCTTTTTAGTAAAAATCGCTTTCTTTACAATAAAGGTTAGATAATGACCAAATGAACTGATGTCCAGTTTATCACTGTTGGTCCACATCGACTAACCAATTGTAGATTACTCTGTAATGGTATATATTTTTTTTTTTAAATATTTATTGGGTGGTTTTTTAAATTGAAATTTCTTGTAACTTCTGTTTTGCAAGAGTTGCCCAAGCAGTTCTCTGTAGAAACTACCAAGTTTCACTGAGTAAACACTTGTACTTGATAAGTTTAACATAACTAGTTAGACATTGTTCATGAACTTACAGCTAGTAGAAGGAAAAAAGATAGTTTATTGTGGAAATGATATATACCCTCCCCCCAAAACAACTTAAGCAGTTAGTACATCAACCAAACTTATATAACTTACAACTCCCATGCCACATCATTATACCAAGTTCAAAAATAAAAATTTAACATTCAGTTTACTTACACAAAAGTTTGATATAATAGTGGAGAGCTACAATTTAAAAAGTTTACAGTTAATTTAAAAACACGCACAACTGAACTTGTTACAAGATGTGTACTATGCATTATTAACATAGAGGATCATGCTTGATATACACATTTTCTCCTAAAAGCTTTAGGATTTAATATATTTATGTTTAGAAATTGTGATAACGTTCCTCTTACAACTAAGTGTGTGGTGAGAAAAATAGTAATAAACTACAAATGTATTAGTTTTTTTTTTTTTGTTTTATTTTTTTTTTCTAAATGTTATATTTACCAGTATATGATGCTACAAGTGTTACAACACAGACTTGTAAACACCACCTTCAATGTGGTGATTTTTTTTTCTTATTATATTAAAACTGGAATAAAATAGATAAAAGTAACATCAAATTTAAAAACTGTATTTTGAGTATTTGTTAAAAGTCTGCATCTAACCTAAAAGTATGTTCTTCTCGTTTGGCCATAACTCCACACCTTTGATATTCTCCTACCTTCTTCTCGAAGAAGTTTGTTTTTCCTTCTAGTGAAATATGCTCCATAAAGTCAAAGGGGTTTTCTTCCTTGTAGATCTGTTTTAAAATGAATAATAAGCTTCGTAAGTTAAGTTACTTATTCCCAAGTACAGGAAATTTAATGCAGTACCTTACCATAAGAAATTAAAGTTACAAGTAACAGACATCTGCTAACAGTTACTATACCAACATCCCCCTCATTTTCCAGATATAAGAGATAGTTACAGATGAAATATTTATCAAAATTAAGAATTGTATCACGTTAAACATTCTTCCATTACAAATATTTATTTATTTATTTATTTATTAATTAGAAAATGGTTAATTAATACTCTAACCAACAAATTTATTACTAAAGTAACTACAGAATCTTGCTTAACCTTATTGAATCCCAACTCCACCAACAGTCGGTCAGCAACAAATTCTATATACTGTTTCATAAGATCACAATTCATGCCAATTAGGGCAACTGGGAGGGCATCCGTCAGAAACTCCTGCTCTATCTTCACGGCGTCACCGATGATCTGGACCACACGTTCCTCTGACGGCTTATTCACGATATATTTGAAGAGAAGACATGCAAAATCTGCATGCAATCCCTAGAAAATACAATTTATTTTTCTACATCTCTCTCTCCAAAATAAAATTTAGTCAATGTTTGAAGACAGTGTGTAATCAGTAGAAATAAATACAAATGCTCAGCCAAAGAGGAAAGTTTTAGTTCTAAGAATAGATTTTAAAGTTGGATAACACTTCTATCTTTACAATATGCTTAACAACAGAAAGTTGCATTACAGAATTAAATTTTAAAAAATTAAAGTAGTAACTGATTAAAACATCTCGGGAGGAAGATCAGGAATTTACTATATTGTTGCGTCAGCGAGGTCACGTGACTACTATCACGTGTTACGAGGTGTAACAATATCTACACTAAAGCTTTCACTTTTCAATACTCTTAGATCTATACTAATTTTCAATAGTCCTGACAAAAAAATATAATATTATTATTATTATGCCAAATAACGTCTAAAAATGAAGTGGTGGCCAGTTTCAAAAATACTTACAAAAAGTTCTCCCCAAAATTTAGCTGTCGTATACCTTAGGAAATTTCATTAGACTTAAAGTCTCCCTCTAGTACTACTTAAATGGAAGTGGGTACCAAAGTTACACATTAGTGGATTATAAAATGTTAGTTCTACTTACTTTAACCGTTGTGAAATAGGAAACAGTTCACCTTGCATATTCTACTTTAAAGAGACACAACATATATAAAAAGCAGAGAGAGAGAGAGTCCACAGAACTGGTATTTACCTCATCTCTGCTTATCAGTTCGTTACTGAAAGTCAAGCCAGGCATCATTCCCCTCTTCTTTAACCAGAAGATAGAGGCAAAGGAACCCGAAAAGAAGATCCCTTCTACAGCAGCGAAGGCTACAAGTCGCTCAGGAAATGGGGCAGCATTGTTATCAATCCAGTTCAGGGCCCAATCAGCCTTCTTCTTAACACAGGGTAAGGTTTCAATAGCATTGAAGAGTCTGTACCTAAACAAGCATAGTTAACATTCAATAGTGTGTTAGGATTCTGTTCTAGTCCACACTTAAAGTTGTTGTTTTTTGTATATTTTCTTTCAATAATTTTTTTTGTTATAATGAAACTTACTAAATTAGATGAGTATACCAGAAAACTTAAGTTATTACTGTGGCATTAAATGGCTAAAGGAAATCCACTAGAATATTTACCAGGGCTTATTTAATACAATTTGGAAATGAATGACTAGATATAATAATAAGCACTATTAGCACATTGTGTAAAAGCTGGTAATGGATTCACAAATTAATTCACTATATTTTATAAAATGTAAATACGTTTAAACTTTATTTATCTATCACAGGGTAGATTTTAACAGATCCATACGTATCACAATAAGCCATGTAATTAAAGTACTTCACAGAAACATGGATTTTTTTTAAGTCAGCCACTATACTAACCGTTCATCAGGGTCCTTCACATAAGTATCTATCAAGAGACTGTACATTTCAGAATGTATGTTCTCCACTGCAATCTGAAAGCTGTAGAAACAACGAGCTTCGGTAATCTGGACCTCCTGACAGAATCGTGCTACCTAAAAGAATATTCCCAGCACTGAAGCTGTAATTACATGCTGGTTTACTAAACATGTCAACATTTTCCTGCCAAACATTACTGTATCTTAAGGTTACGTCTCTCGTCGTTTGTTAATTTCCCGTAAAATTTCTTTCCGATGAAACTTTAGCGATAAAAGTCCTTTCTTAAATAAAACTAGTTTATTCTTTCTCAATACAACTTTGCAATACACTTAATTTCCACAGTCACGCTTAAACAAACGCTGTAATTCACAACGAACGAACGATTCACGCGCTTGACTCAATTGTCGTCACTATCTCTGTCTGCAATTCAATTACATTCCATTGTTCCCGTCACTTCTTGCCGGTCTTATATACAAGAATACCGCATGTCTAGTAAACACTCGAGGCTTCACGAAAGGACATGAATTTTCTAGAAGCTCATGACGTGTTACTAGCGTCACGCGACTTCCGCTGTCTTAACACACTATGATAAAAATTCGGGAGATCCAGTAACCCTTAACCTAAACAAAGATTTATTTTAGGTATTCAAGATACTGTGTAGTTCTTTCATAGGATTTAAACTACCTTTTTTAAATTCTATTATTCATAACTTGATCAGAAAGTATTTATATACCAAACCCAAGATTTAAAGCAAGCCAGGATTATTAAGCCAAACTAAGGGTTAAGTTCACAGAAAGAATAACTCAAATTTAGCTAAATTTCCAAAAAACACATTTCAACACAAGTTGAGCTTACAATGTAGAAATGTTCACCAAAACTTATATAAATCACAATTTACCAAGTTCTCCATCACTATTCCATCACTAGCAGCAAAGAAGGCCAACACGTGATTTATAAAGTGTCTTTCTTCAGGTTTTAACTTGTTCCAATCTGGAATGTCTTTAGACAAGTCCACTTCTTCAGCAGTCCAGAAGGAAGCCTCTGCTTTCTTGTACATATCCCAAATATCTGGGTACTCAATTGGTAAAATTACAAATCGTCCTGGGTTTTTTGTCAGAAGTAGTTCTTTGACTTCCTTCTTTCTCTCCGGAGTTTGTGTGCTTTGCACCTGCTAACATGAGAAAATAGGATCAAATAGGTTTTGAAGAGTCTAAAAAATGTCCAAATGTTTAACCACTGTGCATTAGCAAGGTTGAACTATTGTTCAAACAACAACATGGTGATAGCTTATACATTAATTTCTAAAAAGTATTTTATAATTAAAACTTTCAGTACCAGCTTTGCAGTGTTTAAAAACACTTCAATTATAGCAATGATCACACACAAATCATGAACACTTGTTCAACATTTCACACATGTTTACCCCCAAGCAAACATGGTGTTACGTCTCCGTTTGTTAATTGATTTTCCGTAACTTGTTCCGACGAAACTTAAGCGACACAAGTTC